CAACGATGGGCAGGACTAAAGGCAAAAGGGGGGATGCTAAAACTAGCCATTAAGTTTTAGCTTAAAGTTCATCCTGCCAGTATCTAAGCTTTTGAAGAGGCATTTCAGTCTTCTAGAATGGGGAAAAGCTGCACAAAAGCTGGGGAGCCACCAAATGATTGATGCTTGGGGAAAAGGTGGTATAGTTATCTGGGGGTTTAACTCTAGGAGGGCCAAATTTGGCCTCCCAGGCTTGAAATTGTGCATCCCCACATTAATAGTACAAGTGTTAGTTTATACAATACCATGGGGCATTCTTGTTCTTTCTAATACATGGTTACTCTTCCGTAATGATCTCTTGCACTGGGCCCCAACTTATGTAGTTAGTTGCAAACTGCTTTTGCTTCATATATCCAGTGATGCAGTTTCTTGCTTACAATCCAGTCGTATACCCTAATCAATCTATTTCTATTTTAATATCAAAACATCCTACGTTTCCCACTGTAAGGGAAGGGAAGCAGGTCACTCAGTCTCACTCATTCCAAAACATGTTGGCGTTTCTCTTCTTTTGGCGAGAGAAGCCTTTGCCATTTGGTGCTCGAAGGCTGTTTTGCTCATCAGATGAGATGAGATGAGTGCATCCAATCCATTGACTCTTCTTGCTCTGCCAATGTTCAGTGACCTGGAATAAGCTGCTGATGTACATGAAGCTACACAGTGCAGCAAGAGGCTTCCTGTATGCTCTTACTTCTGAGACCCTGTTCTCTGTTGCAGTTTTCTGCCTCCAGAATGTGGCCAGAAAATCTGGAGTAGCTCATGAGAGTTACAGGAGCCTGCTGACTGCCAACTTCCTCAGCTTGCCTCTAATATGTGGAACAGGAGCCAACCTTTCAGGGAGGCATCAAGCCAAGAGCAGTGGCTGTGTGAAATTGACCGTGAGCGGCAAAGGGATTGGCAGCAAAACTATTGATTTGTTCCCTTCACCATCTTTTATTATGTAACCTGCTTTCAGATGCACTGCAGAATGAGTCTTACATGCCCCTTTCTGCTTGTTACACTAAATAGAGTTCCTTCTCATATAAATCTAGATTGTGTCCTGCTTTGTTCAGAATGTTTTGGCTGGGAATGTGTATTTTTTGCTTATCACTGATATCCACTGATTGCAAAGGGCATTTTGTTGTCACAAAGGCTTCATTTGCCAACTTTACAGAAGCTCCACCATTTCTTAGAAGCTTGAGAAGCAACAGTAGAAGACTGGTGGTCACCTCTAGTGTAAGAAATTGTATGGCCATTGTGTTTGCATCTTTCCTCAAAACAGTGCACTAAATTAAGGTATAATGGTTCCATTTCATGTATGAATGCTGGTTATACTGTGATGACATATGAAAGCATGAAACCAGCTTTATGCTCTGCAGAATGATCTGTTCAGGCTGCCAGTTTTCTCTAGGTGTTGGGAACTACAGAAAAGTGAATCTGTCCTGCTGGCTTGATATAGCAGGCAATCTGGAACACTTAATAGGGCAGGTTAGAAATCCAATAAACAAACAAATGAACAATAGAATTTGCAGAACTGTTATCAGGCTTGCAGGAACCAGAACCAGCGCAATAATGGAATCTAGCTGGAGGCTGCAGGAGGTGCTGGAAAAGGCTACTCAGTGCTGCCTAGTTTGGTTGCAACAACAGCGGCGCCTCTGGTCCTGACCTGGTGTCCACCTCAGGTCTTGAAATGTCTCTATCCATGTCCTGATTCCTGCTGGGCCTGTTGGGTACCAAGGTGCCCACTGATACTTTTGCTACTGCCAGCCAGGCTCCCTAGGCCTCCTGGTTGTCATGGTATTTCTTAATGCTCCTTTTTGAACCTGGGGAAAAGTATGCTGTAAAAGTGAAAGGCTGCTTTCCAGCACCATCGTCGCTTGTGCTCCAAAGAGTGGCCTTGTGTTTTGGAGCTCAGACTCCTGGGCAAGTTGTTTTGCTTTTAATCCTACCTATGTGAGGTGAGTGCACTGCTCTGCAGCTGCACTTCCCATGGAAGGCATGTTGCAACAGAGCCCGCAATGCTCTCAAAAATCCAAGTGTGTCCACCCAGCTTTAAAGAATGAACAGTGTCCTGCTATTCTCAATTTGGGTTGCAGTTTGGGCACTTGGTCTCTAAAGGGTTCACCATCACTGGGTTAGGGTCCTGGCATGATTTTGATGGTTGGAATGTGTTCAGAATGGGCAGAAATGTTGAGCTGTGCAGAAAAAGCTACTCAAGGGAGGCTTTTCCAAAATTGCCCTATTTTGAATGGTATTTTACCTCTATATTTGGGTTAGGGGCATGCACCTGGGTAGGGTTAGGGTTAGAAAACGAGGTGTCCTTTATGATTTTGATGGTTGGAATGTGTTTAGAATGGGCAGAAATGATGAGGGTTGTCCAAGCTTTCGCATGGCTGGTCAGTTTGCTGCCAAGGAAGGCTTTGAGTTGTTTTCTCTAAACTAAACCTCAGTTTTCAGGTTTTATTGTGGTGTTGGCACTTTGCAATAAATAAGTGGGTTTTGGGTTGCCATTTGGGCACTCGGTCTCTAAAAGGTTTGCCATCACTGGTCTAGAGCATTTGGTTGTGTCTTGAGGGAGAACTCACACCCCTCTTGGTAATTGCTTGGTAGTTGACCTACCCTTACAAATGTTTATCTCGTTCAGTTCTTTATCCATTCAAGAATAAACAACTGAATTGTGTTGCTGGTTCATGTGCCCAGATGCTATTTCTAACACACATGTTCACTATAATTTTGCATACAGTGGCAAATCGTTTCATGTTTAGGGGCAGATGCACAGGAAGTCTAAAGCAGCAACCTAACCATGGCTATGCAGTTCTGCCCCTTGCTGCTCAATGTTCAGGCTACAGCAATTTTCCGTTCAAGGGATCTGAAAGCAATCACATGGAGCTTAGGATTTGGTGCCAGGGCATGTAAATAGGATGTGGAAAAATGTGCATGTATGGCACCACTGGGAGAGAGCTCCTTGCTAGATTTCGTAAGAAAGTAGGGATTCCTTCCTCTGATCCTACCTCCTTTTCAACCTTTCAGAATTGAGAACAACGCAAAAAATGGGAATCTGCCATTCGGAACATTTGAAATGCCTCTCCTTTTTGTTAGTTACAAGCAGTAAGAACAGTAGGGTGCAATTCTCAGTATATTTGGACAGAAAATGGGCCTACAATTCCCAACATGCCCCAAACAGCATGAATGGCTGCTTAAGGCATGCTGGGAGTTAAAGGCCTTTTCTCTGTTTAAGTGTTCAAAGGATTGCTGTTTTACGCTAAAATATGTTCCCCCACCCACCCCTTTTGCTGTCAGCCCCAGTCGGGATTGGAATGCAGCCTGTGAGAGCTTCTTTGAAACTGAATGTTGCCCTTAGCCTGCCTTATATGAAGTCTTGCAAAGCCAATGTTTGCAATAATCCAAAGAAGCAATGCTCTGTTCCAACCAATTGTTCTTGGAGTTCAATCCTGGTCAGGTTTTCTTGTAATACATAGTCATGGGATTCTCAATTTGCAGCTGCAATCCTGTACATGGAGCAAATCCCATTTATTTCAGAGGAATTACTTCTGGTCTTACATGCCTAAGACTGTTTCCTCCACAACCTATCTTCATTTGGGGGAAGAGTTTGCTCTATCTATACATCCTTAAGCTGAATCTCTTGTCCAGTGACAACACATACATGAATGGGCCATTGCAGATATGTCACCTCGGACACAACTTTGCTGTTGCCTTATGCTACCTGACAGACAGTGCTTTTCTAGTGGCAAGGCAACAAAGGAAGGTTTGGCCATGCAGCTAAGCCTGCAGTGGGAGAAAAAGATAATGCACAAATGGCTATCTAGGGCAGCATTCTGCTTCCACAGTGGCCAACCTACTGAATGTCCAGAAGGTGTGCCACACATGCTGCCTCTAGTACGGAGGTTGCACGAGGCATCAATTCCCTCATTAAAACTGGTGGCCATCACACCTTGCCGTGGAGAATTCTGCAGTTAAACCAAATGTGGAACGAAGGAGTGCACAGCAGATCCATAGCTCAGTGCACATGTCTTTTACCTGTGCAAAGGTTTGGTCTGAACGTTCTCCAGTTAAAAGGATCTCTGTTAGCACAGCTGGTTTCCCTCCTTGTCAGAGCAGATGGATCAATGCATTAAAAGTTTAGTTAGATCACAATCCTAGTTCAAAAGCTATGTAGGATTGTAACTTTACTCTCCATGTTATATTTATTGTCTTTTCTTTCAGAAATGAATACTTTCTTGGTGGGATGTTACCCATGGAGGCTGTTTTGACATCTTGTGGTCAAAACATCTTGTGGTCAAAACCTTCTGAAAAGGCCCATAAAAATAAGGTGCACATCGAACCTTACCTTGTTCTCAAATTTCTCACAGACAACCACCTCCCGCCTCCTCTTTCAGGCCCAGGCCTCCAATCATGTTCATGCACAGAATTTGCTTTGTCCTCCGGGCTATGTTGGGGAGTGCCTTAAAAAAAAAAAAAAAGCCCATGTAATATGATGCCAGCAAAGCAAAAAAGGGTAGCAACTTGATCTCAATGGATGAGAAAAACTCCAATTAATGTTTAACAAGATAGTATGGTCCGATGGGATAATAGTGGCGTGATCCGGCACATCCACGCCCAAAAGATTTAGAGAAGCACATGAAAATGTGAGGGAGGGAGAGGAGAGAAAGTAGAAGGAGCAGGCGTGCGTGTGTGTGTGTGCGCGCGCGCGCGAGCTGGGGTGTGCAATTACCATTCGCTAATCCTCAGCACTCTGGAAGAAGCGCAGCGGCACGAAGGGCTTGCAGAGGTGCAAGCACAGATTCCATATACTCGAGTTGGCGCGCGCGCGTCCGTAAGGGGGCTCGCCGGGTTCCAGGCTCTGCTCCTGTGTCGGCGGGACTTGCTAGAGTTTGGGCTCGAGACGCTCCCGCTGCTCGGTCGCGGCCGCGTTTCCAGGCTGGGCGCTGCGGATCCCGCCGTCCCAAGGTTGCTTTCAGGGCAGGATGACGGGCAGCCGTGGCGGCTGCTTGCACGCTCTCCCGCCGCTCCTGCCGCTGCTGCTGCTCCTCGTTGGCGCGCTCGGCTGGCCAGCTTCGGCCGCCAGCACTCACGACGCTCCGGACGAAGACGACGAGCGGATGCCATCCTGGGCTTTCGAGGAGGAGAACCAGACCGATTTCGGGAGACGCGGAAGCGCATCCGCCGCTTTCTATCGAAGCAATAAGGTGACCCTGGAGGGGCGAGGAGGAGAGCAGCACCCGGCAGGGGTGGGGGCGGGGTGGGGAGCGAGCTCCGCGTGGTCGAGGCGCGTGGATCTGCTCGCCTTGAGCGGCGCGGGTGCTGCTTCTCTGGCCCCGGCGAACTGGAGAGGTGAGCGGGAGCAGCGCGGTGACGGTGTCTGCGTGTCCCGTGGCGGGATGGGGAAAGGACGGCCGGCCGGCCGGCCAATTGGTTGATCTGGAGCCGTCGCGGCGTCGGCAGGAGCGGTCTCCGTAGCAGAGGAGCTCGCAAGCCGCTTTGGCTTTCATTCGGCAGGCGCAAGAGATAATCTTGTGACCTTCGTTGGTAGTCCTGGGCACCCCCTTTTCGGCCTCCCCATTTCTGGAGGGCCCGTTTTCTTGTGAGGAAGCCCCATTGATTCCATGGGGTTTCAGAAGAGTCGTGCAGGCTTGCATCGTAAGGGTTCCCAGCACGAAGAAGCGGCAAAGCAGCCCCAACCCCAAATCAAGATGCGTTGGACAGGAGTAGGCGCATAAGCACGTATTTGCACGCCCAGCCAGTTTCTAAACGGGAAGCTGCCTGGAGTGAGCTTGAAATCCAGTTAAAGCCAGGTGTGATGTGGGGCCGTGCTTGTGGGGGGGAGGGGGTATTCTCTCTGCACATGCATTGAGGACACTCTGTTCATTCTAGGGACTGGCATTCAAAACTGTCTGGGGGAAAAGCCCGGGCACGTGGCGTGATTTCTCCCATCATTTGGATCATTTTCCTTGTGTGTGAGGGGTGCTTAGGGAGTTGTACTGCCATGTTCCGACCCTTGGAGGAAGGCAAACATGACGTTGTGCTATGCTGAAATTTCTCCAGTTTCTTACAATTGTTCTCTGTTCTGTAAAGAGAATTTGGCTTTTCTGTCTCATTCTTTAGAATTCCTTCTGGTGGTGATTTTGAACTTAATGACCACTGGGGAGCATGCTATGCATGCTTTTCCCTTTCTATTAAACATCTGGCCATCACTTAGCAGCCTGCATGGCTGCCCACAATTCCTGATCTGAAAAAGCCCCACTGGAGAGAAGTTAAACTCATGACATCTGCCCTTGGGCTTTAATGCAAGTGTGGGAAGCTGGGGAGGCAGTACACTGCTGGAAGGCTGACTCTGCCAAAATGACAGGGCGCTCTTGCATACTCATAGCTGAGGTAAGTGGAAGAATCCTACAGCCCATCTATGAGCATGTTATCTTCTCTGAATGCTTTTTCCGAAGCAATTAATTTTCTATCAGACTGCATGAGAATGAGCTCCTCCCCACACCAAATCGTGAAGTCACTTCTGTGAAGAAGGTTGTAATAACTTGCAAGTGGGTCATGACTGTGGTAGCTATGAGACGAAGACACACACTGAGAACTTGATGCCAGATAACCCCGCCCATCCCCCAAAAGGTGTTTCAGGTTGATTTTGATTTCTATGTATTAAGTTATGCTTTATGAAGTCAGATCATTATTCTCTAAAGAAATGTAATGCTCTTTCAGAAAGACTTAGGGAAAGGAACGTTGGTGGTTTTATGACATGTACAGGCAGTACGAGGGGGTGGATTTGTTAAGTATTTGTATTAGGAAATTTGGTCAGGTATTAGCCGTACCGCTGATGAGTGAGGACTTCCAAAGCGGTATCATGTCTCAGACATTGTCCTGGAGCATTTAGCCTTTACTCAAATGTCCAAACTATTAAGCTCTTGTGATCTTGATGAGTTGGGTTCTGCTGGAACAACACATTTTTAAAAGTTGAATGGAAAAACAACACACATGGGAAAGGTTAAGTACCTTTTTTGTCCTCTCAAAACCACTCTCACACACCCATCATAACTTTTCATTAAGCAAAGAATAGTTTTATTGGGTGTTTGGGGGTTTATGGGTATAGCTTGTCACTGTGCAGGATATCCCAGCGTGCACATGCATGCGCATAGTGATTTTGAGGCTGTAGGTGGACTGATTGCTTCCTCACCCCTGGCCAAAGGGATGTTGTGTGAGGGTTGTGTTCACTGTTTCCTGATGCAGGAGCCCGTTTCCACACAAGGGTTGGAGAAGAGTATGTTCAGACAGGAAAAAAGTTGAGCCAGGGGACTGTTTATTTCATTATTATATTTCTATCCCATCTTTTCCCCCTCCAACTTGCATAGTCCTCCTCTCCATTTTATCTGCATAACAATTCTGCGAGGTAGGTCAGTGGCTGGCCCAAAATCAGTTAGTGAGTTTCATGGTGATTTGAGACTAGGACCCAGATTTTCTGAGTCCCAGGCCAACATGCCGACCACTACACCGCACTGGCTCTCGGAACAGGCCTGCTACTCTTTCCTGTGTGGTGCTAGCTTCACACACCCCGCAAAAGAAGCAGACACGGTAATGCGCATGCACTGCAAGTCAGCTGGCAGCTCGGCTGGGACCAGGATGCCCAGCTGATTGTGTCCCCATATTTACAGCTTGTGGACCCTAGAGACCTCTTGAGGAGGCCTCACTGGTAATTCGGTGGCCAGCAGAATACCACCAGGTGGTGGCACTGGAGTGGGCCTTCTCCGTTGCCACCCTTTAGAAGCAGGTCTGGTGCGATGCCTCTTGAAAACACACCAATTCACAACAGGCTTCCCCTGCTCAACTGGGACTCTCTTAATAGCCTGGTGTTGTTAGAGAGCTGTCGTGTCTTAAGTGTCCATGATGCTTTACTTATTCATTATTTTATCTGAGTTCTCGTATTTCTTGTTGTTCTCTTGCTTCAGGATTTTAATGCATTAAGCAGCATAGAAGTATTACAATGAAGAAATAAAGGCTTGTGCATGGGTCTGGGAATGAGAGCCCACTGATGGGGCTGTATAACAACGTTAGTCTAAATAAAGTCCTACTCATCTCAGTGGGTCTTCTCTGAGTAGGATTACCATTGGTTGCATCCCTTGCCTTGGACAAGCTCAGCTGTGTCCCCCCTGGCAGAGGGACAGGAACTGCCGAGACCCAGCAGAGCCCGGCTGCCTTACCCACACGTGCTTTCTTTTGTTCAAATGCAGGACGCATGGCGCTTACCTGGGCAGTACATTGTGGTGCTCAAGAAGGAAACCCGTAAGCCGCAGACATCACGAACTGCCACGCACCTGCAGGCTAGAGCAGCTAAGCATGGCTATCAGACCCAAATCCTCCATGTCTTTGTGGAGCTTTTCCGGGGCTTTATTGTGAAGATGAGCAGTGATGTGCTGCCCCTGGTAAGTTCCTCTTGCAATAGGTAAGATGTTGGCTGATTTATCAGATGTCATCCTGCTTCTCAGCCAAGGATCCTGAGACATTTAAAAGACACAACCTAACATACAGTAAACCAAGCTGATCACCAATAAAATGTTGGCAAAGTCATCTTCATGCATATTCACTTCTGTAAGCGGCGGCTTGTATCCAACTGTGTCATCTACCAGTGGGAGGGAACCATGGCAGGCAGATTTTCCCCTCCTGTAGCTCCCCCCACCCCAAATGAGTTCTGGAGGGTTGGAGGGCACATGCGGGGTGCTGCATGGTGGGGGGGGTAGGAGAGCATGGAGTAGCTCTGTTTTGTGGCAGTGGGTCCAAAGCAGTACAGTTTCCAGAGTTTGGTTTTTGTTGAGCCCAATCTATTGGGAGCTTTTGGAAAGTAGCTACTAAAATATGTGGGTCTTTGAAAAGAATAGAGTGTGGCAGTGATGTGAATTTGCTGGGAAATTATCCGTTGCCTTAAATTGCTTGCCAGTGATTCACTTACATTTAAAATGCATAACTTAGAAAGTACTCTGTGCTTCTTTTAAATCTTATACTCTGTGCTGTATAAATATTTTATTTCCTCTAAATAGTCAGAAGTAGCTGAACTGAAATATTTGATTGTGGAAAAAATCAATGCAGTGTACTGCATATGGTTCAACTCAGGGGGGAGTAACTCAGTTTCCATGAGTCCCAGCCAGCATAACCAATGGCAATGGCTGATGAGAGTTGTAGTCCAACCACACTTGGCGGGCTACATTCCTGGTCTGAATGGTGTATTTCAACAAATTCAAAGCTCACCGGAAAGTATGTTTATTGGAGTTTTGGAAATAAGTTACGATAGCTCAGTAGTACACAATTCCTCTAGAATCTATTCTTTAAATCGTAAGAATGAAGGTACTGAAAGCTGAAGCTGTTGGACATACTAATTTTAGCATGCCTGAATTTTAGCACGCATACTCTCATAAAACCTCTCACGTTCACCTCTCCGCAGAAATCATCTGAAAAAAGTTGCTTACTGACAAATTTGAATGATACAGTATCCACTCATTTATGACATCACTTGATCTCATGAAGCAGATCATTTTTAGAGATGGACATTTTTCTGCAGAAAAATAGTTGTCACTCTCTACTCTCTACAGTCTAGGGTGGTGAAGTGGTCTAGTTTAGATATGAGAAATCCAGTTTCAGATCCTGCTAAGCCACAAATTTCATTTCAAGGGTAAGTCCCTGACCTGATTTGGATGTTCTGTTAGTCCACTGTTAATAACCTGCAAGTTGTTGAATAGCTCAAGCGTGTGAGCTGGTTCCTGCTCATTAGACCTTGTTGTCTGCCCAAAATCCAGAGCTCTGGGTTTGAGCATTGCAACAAGCAATCTTCGGACAAACTGTCCTGGTTGTTTATCTCAGCAGGAGCAGATACTGAGGACCTGCTGAGGACCAGCACGCTTGTTTGTGTGCTGCTATTTTTCTTTTCAAGAACTCTCAGTTTGCTAACTGTGGGTGGTTCCAGTGTGTGAACCTGGCCACCCTTTCTTATTTTAAGGTCACAGGGTGTACTGTGGGGCTGAAATACTATCAGAGCTCCTTTGCAGAAGGCAAGATACAAAGTAAGAAGTAACTCCCACGTATTCAGTAATTCTGGTGGCATTTTTGATGCTTGTTGCTTCTTTGCTTGTGAAGGTCTAAAAGCACAGGCAAATGCAGCCTTTAAAGTGAAGGTTGCACCATTTTGAGGAATAAATGATTCTGTCTAAACATTTCATAAGTTTCCTCTTTGAGGGAAAAGGAGGTTTGCTTAGTTCCTTGCCTGGATGCTGCACCTGTTTTAGGCATCTTGCTCATCAGAGAGCTTATGCAAGGCCCAGTTAAGCAGGTGAGGAAAAGAAACATCCAAAAGGGAAAGAAGAGGACAAGAAACATCCAAAATCCACACTTGTGCAATACTTCAATTTGGTATAACCAAAATGCCAGGAAGTTTGTGCAAGCTTTCAGATTCTCCAGAGCTCTTTCTTTAGGCTTGTGGTAACAAGCCAGCAACCAGGGCAAGGGAAAGAACAGAAAAGCCCAAACCTCAGCTCAGGTTGTAGCTATGAAGTCTGAAGTTGAGGCTCAATCTCAATATGCTTGAGATTTTATGTCAGCCACCCAGAGCATCACCTTGACTAATGGGTGGTATAGAAATTAAATAAATAAAGTAAATAAAACGGAGATGGCGGAAAGAATAAGGTAGTCACTGGGAGGTGTTGCCGATGTTGGTGACCCCTAGCCCAAGAAGCAGAGTGGGTCAAAGAGGAGGCAGAGGCTGACCCTCGTTTCTGAAAGCATGAAGGCTGGCTGTAGTACAGATTTAATGCTAGGTACAAGCTGATGCTATATGTTTGCAGGGTGGTAGCTGGCTGTTGCAATCTACCTTAGGCCAGGCTGTGACCCAGTAGCTGGACTTGACCTACCAGTTGAAGGCCAGTGGTAGAGACCAGTAGTCCTGAGCCGATTATTCTCTGGATGTGTTAGACTACAGCTCTCATCATCTCCAGCCAGCACAGCAATGAGAGTGCTGGCCAAGGATAGTGGGAATTGTAGTCCCAAATATTTGGAGGGCATCATGGTGCCGAAGGTTAGTATGGACAAGGATGAGCTAGCTGGATAAAAGTTCTGATTTGGGAGCATTGTTTTCATGCCTTTTTTGGTGTGTTGACTGTGTTCCAAAACCGATGTTGAAGAGGGTGAGTGAATGCTTGCCAATGGACAGTTCAATGCAATTGTCTCATTTGGGCACAGTGAGGTTTTCTATACTAGCCATTTATTGTGTGCTCATGATTCCATACTTTCAGTTATCTCTGGATGTTCTATACAACACTGTTATCCTCCAGAACCTCTCCTGTCCTTTCCAAGTATTTCTGTGGCTTTTTTTTAGATTGAAGAAAACAATCATATCTAGAAATGGGGGAAAGAATTGGAAGGAGAAGCTCATGTATTTTGCCAATTCTGCTATGTTACAGTGCCACCTTGTGGTCATATAATGGAATTCAAAGGCAGAGGGAAACAACAATCCCAAGAACCCTGGTTTGTTGCTGGGACATGTTGAGAAGACCATTTTGATCCTGAGAAAAATCCAGAATGTCTCATGTAGAGAAATCCAATATATCCCTGGCATAATGTGTGAAATGACCTCAAATTTCCAGCAGTTCTTTACATGTCATGATTGTGATAATCACAACAAAAACAAGGGCTTTGTTTCAGGAGTTGCACCAACTTTCCTCTGCCTTCTATTATGCAGGCTTTGAAGCTGCCACATGTGGATTACATAGAAGAAGACTCCTATGTGTTCGCTCAGAGTATTCCCTGGAACCTTGGCCGGATAGTTCCGATGCAAGTCAAATCGAGTGAATACAATCCTCCCAGTAAGCACTGTTTGCTCATAAGGTGCCAAAGAACCACAGGGTCAGCGACTACGTGTTATGCAGAGGGCAGGGCAGGATTAGAAAGCCACACAGATCACTGATAGATGAAGAGGTTAAAATGCAGCTAGTGTGCAAGCTGGGGTAAGGCGAAATTTCTGCAGATTTTTAGCTTACTGTGAGCAGTATCCAAAGCTATCCTTGCACTAGCAGAAATGACTGCTAGGGTAGCAGGAAGGTAGCGCTACTCAGAGTAACAGGAAACTAGCAGAAACCATGATTTCCAGAATGGAACAATTCAGTGAAGCTTGAAGAAGGGAACTCCAGTGTCCTGTTCAGACAATGCTAGTTTCAGTCTGACTTGTTGCTTCTGCTGTGGCCCTGATGAGAATTGCCCATCACTACTGCAGTGTCAGAAATGCAGAATTGGAGGAAAGCCCCCTCTGATGCCAGTAGGAACTTTCATCCCATTGCAATAGCAGGTGGGTGTGGGGGGGGGGTCTGGGCAATGGCTGGAGGCCCCCTTCGCTCCAGTGAATTCCCCCATCTGGGTCTTCTCACCCACTTCGTATGGAAGGCCATCCCCTCCCATGATCGTCATCTTTTTTAAAAGTCAACAATACATGGGTGAACTATGTGCCAAATGTCCTGTCTCACGTGGCCCTACCTTCTGAGTTCTTTTTTTCTCTGTATCTCTGTCCATGAGGCAACATGTAGAGGCAGGTTCCCAGTCTGTTAAGAATTCCAGAGACTTTAAGAAGCTGCTGTTAGGTCTCAGTTGACAGTAGGTAAGCCTGTCAACTTCTGACCTTTGGATTTTATGCCTGCCTGGCCTTCCAATATTAAGAAAAGAGCAGAAGGATTAACCCATTTTGGACTGCTTTCCATCACCAGAATGGAAGGGTCATTCTTGTTCAGTCCATCCAGCTTTCCCTTTCCTTGACTACCTGCTGGACATTTTGCCTGTAAAACTGGCTTGGTGCCTGATCATATGTTGCTCATGCAAGATAAGCATCCTTGTACCTTGGCAAGCATGGTGGGGTGATGAAAGGCACTTAATGTTACTGTAAGAGCTGTATGTCAATTTCCCTTTAGCCTCACTGACTGCAATCTCTCTGTAGATAAGGGTGACCTGGTTGAGGTTTATCTGCTAGATACTGGAGTTCAGAGCAACCACCGGGAAATCGAGGGCAGAGTGTTTGTGACAGAATTTGAGAATGTCCCAGATGAGGATGGCACTCGTTTCCACCGACAAGTACGTCAGCTCTCTGTTTCTTTTCACAAGCATCAGTTACTTGGCTTGTTATGTTTGTCATGCCCAGGGATCTTAGGCTGTGTATTATTCAGCAGACCCCCCAAAGGTTTCCTGTTAGACGCTGCAACTGGGGATGGATGGCACTGAGAAACTTGACTCTCTTGCCCTTAGTGAACTTTTGGTACCTTCCTGACTCAAGAGCCTGAACTCAGCCTGAGCTGAGTGTTTTTGCAGTTTCTGTTTTTAAAGCAGACCATGATTTTTTGTGGGTATTTTTTAAAGCCAAGGAAATTCTGGCCAGAATTTAAGCAAATTTCCCTGCCTTTGAAAAGCAATGCAAATCATGGCTGCTCTAAACATGGAAGACTGTGTGCTGACTTGGCTAATGTCAGGGTGAGTTGGCACCAGCACTGGGCTGGCAGGCTAGAATTCAGGAGGCTGAGCCAGGCCAGTCTGCCGGATTTTGACCCCACCAACTGGATTCGTTTTGTATTCCTAGCTGCAATTTCTCTTTAATAAGGGATTTTCTAATTCGGCTAATTGCTGGTAGGGCAATGCAGCTAATGTTTCCTTCAGTAGTTGCTCTGGTTGGGGAGGAGGTTATTGCACAGATAAATCTTATGCTGGAACAGTTGCTAATAGACACTGATGTGCATTGAATTTTAAATGATTTACCTGCTTCATGGAAATTAATAAATGTACAGTGTTAATGGATTCTCTGTGCCTTTTTGACAGTCAAAAGATTAATTTTACAACATTGGAAGGATAAACAATCACCTCCTATGATACAATGAATGGAGAGGACTGTTTTAAAACATTCAAAATTTAAATGGGCAGCCTATAGAAACCACCTTCAAACGGGTACTTATTTGGACGTTTGGTCTGCTAGAAAATTGTATACATTTCATATGTATTCATGTATGGATAATAATATTCATTTCTATGACTGTATAGAGAGATCCATGCACGTATATTAAAAAAAAGAAAAAAAGATCAAAATTTTTGCAGGGGCCAGAGTGTGAGGACCCCTTCTTGGCATCCTTGGAGGAGCCCTTGAGTGCTTATTGGGGACCTGTGTAATAATGAACTGCAACCCTTAACTCTTTGGACCACCATCCCCCTGTGTTGGTGCAGGCCTTTACCTCATCCAAATTGTGCTGGTAATGGTGGTACAACTGGTATACTGCAAGGGCATCAGAGCTCTTCCCGCCTGAGGGCTGAATTCAATTCTGGAGAAGTTAGCTGGGGCCAACTTTCTCTGATGGCTGGGCCAAAGTAAAAGAGGGTGGGGCCGTAGGTAAACATACCACCCTACTTTAGCTTCAAGCTCTTATGGGCAGTAAGGGTGCAGCAGTCAGGAAAACGCCAAGCAGGTGGCAGTCAAAGGGAAAGGATGGGGCCTGGGGAAGGTGATGTGCCATCTGAGGCGCTTCTCAGGGCTGGATTTGGTTCACGGTCTGGAGGTTCAACACCTCTGGAAGTGGGTGAATACATGCCTGAAGCTCAGCCCAGTGTTAGATATGTGGATCTTGATGCTATCCGCAGAGAGTTGATTTGCGGAGGAGGCTGACTTTCACATCTTCTCTGCCCAAGATGTTAGAGGCTGTTTTTCCCCTTCTAGGCAGCAGTTTCATGCATCCCTTTCCAGGGTGCTGGCGATGTGGGAGAAGGCATCCCAGACAGCATCAGGAATGCACATTACGCGGAGATTTGCGAGGGTGGTTGCGGTTTGATTAGATGGGGCAATTGCTGTAGAAGTCTTGGAAGTCCAGCCCTCCCGCTGTTCCTCTCACTGCCATAGCATGGCCCAGAGTCATCAGATTGATAGCCCAGCGGCTGGATATTTCAAATAAGGTTGGATTCCTTGACACATTTCCCTGGAATAGTCACATATCTCACCCCTAGTGGGGCCTCTCAGGTTTTCCTGGGAGGTGTTGGATGCCACGACATCAGGGATCACCATTCATTTTGCTTATGTGTGGAGCAGGCACTGGTGAGAGATCATCTGCATGTCCTTTCTGGCAGGCCAGTAAGTGCGACAGCCACGGGACCCACATGGCTGGTGTTGTGAGCGGGAGGGACGCTGGAGTGGCCAAAGGAGCCAGTGTCCGCAGCCTCCGAGTGCTGAACTGCCAGGGCAAGGGCACAGTGAGTGGCATACTGATCGGTGAGTAGCGACAGCTACACTTGGGAGTCAGGCCTGTAAACATCTAGCAAGGTCTTTTGCATTTCTGATTCAGCTCCTGGGGATTAGCGCCTTCTGTTAACTCTAACGGAGTTGGACATTTGGCCCCATCCTGATGACCCTGGCTCGTTCTTCATCACCTGAATGAGTACAGTTGGCCCTCCACATTTGTGGGGGTTAGGGGTGCAGGACCCCTGTGAAAGTGGAAAACCCATGAATATCTCTAGTCCCCACAACACTTAATTTTTAATATGTTTGACCATACGTGTTTTGGATTGCTTCTCTCTTTCTCTCCCTCCTTCCCTCAATCCATCAGGGATCCCCTTCTTCATTTATTACTTTTTGTTCTTATTCTCTGCCCTTCCTCTCACTCACCAGCACCTCCTCTTTGCACCAAGGAAATTCTGAAGAGATTTCCCTCTCTGGATGAGTGGGGCAAGAAGTCATACTTCAGAGGCCCTCCCTCGCTATCTTTCTGCTTCTATTCTCCCCCTCCCTCCCTCCCTCCCTCCGTCCCTCCCTCTCTCTCTGATTTTCCTCAGTAGGCTGAAGAAATTTCCCCAAAATACTATTTAATTATTGATGGCAAACTTGTGAATAATCAAGTCTGCAAAAGTTAAACCCACTTAAGTCAGGGTTTAACTCTATATATACACACATACATTTCTAAAGCAGAAGAAAGCCTATTTTGTGCTCCCTTTCCAGCTTCCCAAAGGCAATTCCTGGTGTTAGACACCCCCCGCCCCACCCTGCCCCAGTCATGCCAGTCTGCCAGCAAAAGAGGGAAGGGTTGCACTCCCCGTGCTACAGATACAGTCATCTCCAGTGGAGGTTCCAGCTGTTACAGCAGCAGGTGTGTAGTACTTGTAGCCTTCACAGGCTCCTCAAACTGGCCATCAGCCTCATACTGATCTTCAGATAGTGAGCCTGCTTCTTAAAAGTTGAACCACTGCGATCCACACACTGGCACCTGCATGATTACACTGTGTAGGTCAGTGCTTGTGCCTGGTTTTGGTGCAGAGTGCGTCAGCTTGGGTGCCCTGGTCAGCACATCACAATACACTTAATGCACCTGCATTAAGAGTGCTTCCTTGGCTGCCTGTTGCTATTCAGGGTTTGGCTGTCGACAAGCTAGGGCCATGATATCTCACTGATAGCCTTTCCCATTGTGCCCAGACCAGATCAGACCTGATGAGGCTTTGCTGCCATTCCATGGCTGGCAGTGAGTTGACAGGTAATGCTGCATAAAGAGGCCTTCTTGGGAGTGGCATTCCCACCCTGGAACGCTGCCCATGCATGGTCTGAGAGCTGGAAAATGTGGCACGTTCTAAACCCCACTTCGCTCAGGCTTTCCCTGACTTTTAAGCAGCTATGACACTGCTCTTTGGTTGTAAATATTATGTGCATTTATTGTTTTGTATTGTTGTTATTGTTATTGCATTGGTTTTTCATTGTAGCTCTGCTGTAAACCTCTTGGAGGTTTTAGGATATCAAGTGTTACAGCAGCAGTTGAAATAAAAAGAAAAAAATGGACTTATGCTGTTCTTCGTCGTGGCCTCTGTGCATCACACATATGGGTGCTGCGCCTGCGCAGTGCCTAGGCCGGAAGATTAGAAAGCTAATGGTTTTTGGCGGGAAAACTCCGCTCCCCTCCCCCTTCGTGGTATAAATAGAGCGGAGTGTCCGCCAATTCACTCAGTCTTTGCGACCGCTGTTCACTGTGCCTCGTGCCTGTTCGTCTCTCGCTATAGATCTGTGCCTCTTTGTCGTTTTTTGTCTAAACCCTTCTTCTCTTGCTCCAAGTTTGTTCTTCTTCCCGATTCTTTCTGATTCTTCTTAAAATTCTCTTCTCCCTGTAAAAAAAAAAAACAAAAAAAATTTATCTTACCCTCTATACTGTCCTCTTTTCTTCATTTTCCGTGATGGCACAGCGAGCAGCATTCCACAAATGTATTGAATGTGGATCCAAAATGTCACCGGCCGATCCACATGATGTATGCTTACTCTGCCTCGGCGAGGGGCATAGAACCGACAAATGCGGTCATTGCTTGGCGTTTACCAAGCAAGCGTGGAAAAACAGGGAGAATTGTCTCAGGAAGCTCCTATGGGATCAGGCATTAATGCAGTCTGACCAACTGTTCCTGCGGCCTGGCTCCTCATCATCCGCGCCTCCTCAGCGCTCCTCCTCCACCATGAGTGCTCCGGCGAAGCGTCCTTCCTTGACCTCTGCCGATCCTCCGCAGCATCCTTTGGATGAAGGCGCCGCTTCTATGGAGGCTCAGTTGCTGCCTTCTCCCCCGGCTAAGAAGTGTAAACATACTGGTCTGGATAAACCTTCCACCCATAAGAAATTGAGGAAGGAGAAGGTGGACAAGCCCGCTTGCAAGAGAAAGAAACCTGATCGCCCAAAACACCGGGGCTCAGGCTCATCGGGCTTCTCGGTACCGACGGCCGCCACGGTACCGTTCCCCCTTGGGACCGGCCCTGCAACTCGTTATGCAGGTGACTCCACCGGGATCCCCCAGGCCAGCCACTTGGCCTGAGAGCGGGCCTCCTCAACAACAGGAGGAGCTGCTTCGGGAGTCCATCTCTGATGGCGAGATCAGAGGCTCCCCACCGAGGGACCGCTCGCCAACACCTATGCCACCGACTGAACCTCATGTGGCCTCATTACCTTCCAGATGTCGCAGCCTTTCATCCGAACATCGAGATGAGAGTTGGTTGATCCCGGGATATGGTGCTCCCCCCAGCTGGGGTGGTTATCAGCCATATCCCTACTTCTCTCGGGATCGTAGATCACCATCGGTCCTGAGGGACGCACCATCCACCTCCAGACATGCGGAGACGAGGCGCCCAACCTCCCCTGAAATCTCCTCCTCCTCTAGCGACTGGCCGCGCTACATGGAAGACTCCGAGGACTCGGAGGTCGACTCCACATCCCCCGATGTGGCTGTCGCGTACCAAGGGCTTGCTTCACCCGATGAACTGCATGTCTCTTTCACAGAGCTCATGTTCAATCGCTTGAAATTGAAGCTCATCAGCAGCCAGGCCCTTCCACAGATCAGTTTTATGATGTCGTTCGAGGAGAGCAGTTGGCATCCAATAGCCCTGCCGCTTATAACCACACTCCGCCAGGCTATGGTCCAGCCCTGGGACCAACCGGCCCAACCACAAGCTACCTCCCGCACGTATGAGGCCATGTATAGAGTTTGTGACGACAACATTCCCTTCCTGCTCCGTCACCCGAAACCGAACTCTCTTGTGGTTGAATCTTCCCAGGGCAGGGAGTCCAGGGGACATACCACTCCTCGGGACAAGGAAGGGAGGAAAATCGATATGCTTGCGCGCCGAGTCTATGCGGCCTCTGGGCTCGGCATACGCGTATCGAACTATGAAGCGACACTGGCACATTACCAGTACTTTATCATGCAGAAGCTGGATAATGTGGCTTCCTCCCTTCCAGACCACCAAGAGGACCTCGCCAGGGTTTTCATTAAAGAGGCGATGCAGGTGGCGGTGCAGCAATTGTCTGCTGCTTGTCATCGTGTAGACACCGATTCAAGGGTCCTCGTCAATGCCATCTCGTTGCGCTGGCATGCGTGGCTGCGCAACTGTAATTTCCCCGAAGAGACGAAGCGCAGAATCGAGAAAATGCCATTTGATGGTACCGGTCTGTTCCATCAGAAGACCGACCGCAAATTAAAGGCGATTCATGAATCACGCCTAACTGCGTGCCGCATGGAGCTCCCGCAAAAACGTAAGTGGCAGTGGCCTCGGTCTTCCTACCGGAATCAACCATACTATTCCCGCTAGCAGAACTACCCTCGCCAGCAATACCAGCAACGGCAGCGTCGGAGACAGCAAATGCACGTGTTTTTCCCAAGGCCATCGGCACTTCGATACCGATAAGCGCCCACGTTGATGGCTTGGGCAAACCATTCTCTCTTTCCCAACACCACCTTTCCTTCTCTCTTTTGGGGACCGGTTCCAGGGCCGACTCCCCATTTGGGAGTCCATTACATCTGATAGGTGGGTGTTATCTATCATCCAGTTCGGATACAGGATAGAATTTGATGTTATCCCTCCTTCGAGCCTGATCCGCTTCACACCTTCTTCATCGGTGCTATGCGACGAGGTCTCCCAGTTACTTCTCAAGGGAGTGATTCGACAGTTGTCCTGCTCGAAAGGATTGCATGGATCGTATTCCAGTTATTTTACGGTCCCAAAAAGGGACGGTGGTCTTCGTCCGATTCTGGACTTACGAACTCTTAATACGTACGTCAAACCAAGGAAATTCCGGATGACCGCTTTGCATAATATCCTTCTGTTATTGAAAAGAGAGGATTGGTTCGCCTCACTGGACTTGAAGGATGCTTATTTTCATATTTCTATCCATCCTTCACACAGAGGCTTTCTACGTTTTACTGTCGGGTCCGACCTGTTCGAGTTCAATGTCCTACCTTTTGGCCTGGCCACAGCCCCTCGAGTCTTTACGAAGTGTATGGCGCTGGTATGCGCACACTTGAGGACACGGGGAGTACAAATATACCCATACTTAGATGACTGGCTAATCGTCTCGCAATCCGAACAAGGTCTCCTGTCTGATATACAAGTGACCTGTGCTCTACTTGATGCTCTCGGTCTCTGCATTAACCGCGACAAATTGTCCCTTATTCCCACGCAGGTCATCGATTTCATCGGGGCACGACTTGACTCGACGCAGGAAAAAGCCTTCCTCCCACCGGAACGTCAGAATGCCTTATGCAGCCATATTCATCGGATTCAACTACACGGAACGGTCCCAGCCTTATCAGTTCAGAGACTACTGGGGCATATGGCTGCTGCGATTGCCATTGTCCCATATGCTAGGCTGCGTGTGCGGCCCATACAACTGTTTTTCAATGCTGCTTTTCAACTGCAACAAGATCCTGCCACCAAGCCGATTTGGATTTTCTGCAATTCTTCACTCTAACGTGGTGGACTATCTCAGACAACCTGTCGATCGGCGCTCCGTTTCGACCACCTCAGCCAACGACAACCCTGTACACTGATGCATCCCTCCTCGGATGGGGTGCGGCATGTTCGGGACTTCGGGTCCAAGGTACTTGGAACCGACGAGAACACATCAACTTCCTCGAACTTCTGGCGATTTTCAGCGCCCTCAAGGCTTTTGAGACTGTGCTATGCCGTCAAGTTGTCCAAATTGCATCAGACAACATAGAGGCAGTTGTCTACATCGACAAGCGGGGGGGGCACAAAATCCCCATCCTTAGCACGCCTATCGATGGACATTTGGGACTGGTGCATACCAAGGAACATCGTGCTTCTGGCAGTTCACCTGGTTGGAACCGACAACAATGAAGCAGATACGCTAAGCAGACAGATGTCAACAACCCACGAATGGAGTTGGACAAACAAATTTGCGAGAAACTCTTCTGCTTGTGGGGTTATCCGGACGTGGTCCTGTTTGCCACCCATGAGAACAGCCTATGTGCCCTATACTGTTCCAGAGCGGGTGTCGAACTGGGATCGATGGGGGACGCTCTTATGACCCCTTGGAGCAACATGACTTTTTATGCGTTTCCTCCGATCCCACTTCTGACAAGAGTGGTGGCGAAAATAGCTCAGGACAATGCCACAGGGATACTAGTGACTCCGTGGTGGCTGAGACAACCTTGGTTTGCCACTCTCTTGCTGCTGTCCAGAGGAACGTTCATTCATCTGCCAACTCTCCCGCATGTGTTAACGCAACAAGGAGGAGCAATCCGTCATCCGGATATACTCTCTCTCAGGCTGACGGCATGGTGGATCGCCTGATTCACGCCACTGAGTCGGTACTGGCGACACCTCACCCTACGGATGACTTTACTCAACAGGCGGTGCATGCGTCCCCGACTTTGGATTCGACAACAATTGCCACGGTACCAATGCCCACGGACTGGGAAATTCAGGAGATTCTTGAATCTGCATTGAGACTGTCCACTCATCGTTCCTATGCGGCTAAATGGAAAAGATTCTCCTCTTTTGCAGAGTGCCATTCTTTTTCTCCTGGAACGGCTTCAGTCACCAATATCTTACAATTTCTCTTACAATTGCATCATGAGGGACTCAAAGCATCATCTATCAAAGTTTATGCAGCCGCTATATCCCATTATCGTGGCACTATCCATGGCTTATCAGTCTTCTCTCAACCACTGGTTCGGCGTTTCATTAGGGGACTACAAAATTTACATCCGTCTATTCGCCCTGCCATGCCAACGTGGAGTCTTTCTGTAGTGCTCCAAGCACTTACCAAACCACCCTTCGAACCCTTGGCAACTGTGGATTTACGCCTGGTGTCATGGAAGACTGCTTTTCTCGTAGCAGTAACATCAGCACGGAGAGCTAGCGAAATTTGTGCTCTCCGCATAGGTCCACCATTTCTGAATTTCCATAAGGAAAAAGTCATCCTCCGAATGGATTTCTTCTTTCTACCCAAGGTGGCCACACCGTTCCACCTGAGTCAGGACATTGTTCTGCCAGCGTTCTTTCCACTGCCGTTGACTCCAATAGAACGTGCTCTACACACGCTTGATGTTCGCCGTTGCTTGGCCTTTTACAGATCCCGCACTGAATCTTTCTGTACTACTAATAGACTTTTTGTTAAATACTCCGAGCGTGACAAGGGATCACCAATATCATCTCAGAGACTCTCTAATTGGATCATCCAGACTATTGTCCTGGCTTACCAGCTATCGAAAATAGACTTACATGTCTTTCCAAGAGGCCATTCTACACGAGCAGTAGCGACTTCGTCTGCATTTGCCACAGGGGTTTCGCTGCAAGATATCTGCAAAGCTGCGACTTGGGCTGGTCCATGTACTTTCACCAAGCACTACCGGCTTGATGTATGTGCCAGACAAGACTGCTCTTTTGGTAGAGCTGTTCTCTCATCCGTTCTTCGCTGATGACACCTCCCTCCTCCGACTGTGGTAAGCTTGCGAATCACCCATATGTGTGATGCACAGAGGCCACGACAAAGAAAAGCAGGTTGCTTACCTGTAACTGATGTTCTTCGAGTGGCCATCTGTGCATTCACACAACCCACCAGCCAGCCCCGCTTGTATCGTTTTCTCGGTACCGTATATAATTTGCATTGGTACCACTGGGTTATGTCACTAGGTGGTTATTGTTCTCGGTACCGCACTATAATTTGCATCGGTACCATTGGGATATGTTACTAACTGGATATTGTTCTCGGTACCGTACGCTAATTCACAGCGGTACCGTTGGGATGTAATTGTGCTTCTCATTACTTTTATTCTTAACCTCTAGAGGGTGAACGTGTGGTCTTCAAGACTGAGTAAAATGGCAGACACTCCACTCTATTTATACCACGAAGTGGGAGGGGAGCGGAGTTTTCCCACCAAAAACTGTTAGCTTTCTAATCTTCCGGCCTAGGCACTGTGCAGGCGCAGCACCCATGTGTGTGAATGCACAGGTGGCCACTCGAAGAACATCAGTTACAGGTAAGCAACCTTGCTTTTCTTTTTTTCTCTCACGTGGGAAATGGTGGGGTAAAGGGCACTGCTCTTCTTTGTGAACCAGGGATGTAGGAATCTGTTCCCTGTGTGTTTTAGGGATGACTAGGCATTTTTTGCTTTATCATTGTTGAAACTGGCTTTTCCTCAATGTGCTGAGCTTGTGATTGTGTTTGAAAGTGAGCATCTGTGCAACTACGAATGCCCGAAATCTGCAAATCCCCCCCATGTGTATTTTCATGCTTTAGCCTGTGTGTGTGTGTGTGTACATACACATGCAGGAAATGTGCATTCTTTCAGAGCTTTTAAAATTTCCCTATTTTTGTACAACTAAATTTACATTCCATCTCAGAAAGTTTAAAAAGAGAAAGCAATCCACAAGTTCAAGCAAGTTAGAAGAAATTGGTCCATTACAGAATTCATGGGTTGGATTCACAGCTCTTGCTTGAATCAGTTGCAGATTTCGCTGACATCCCTGCTTTGACATCCCTGCATTCTGCACCTCTCTGTTGAGCGAAACATGCTCACCTCTTTCTTTTGCTTTGCACAACAGGACTGGAATTCATCCAAAGGACTCTGGCCACCCAGCCCTACAGCCCACTAGTTGTGTTGCTGCCCCTGGCTGGCGGCTACAGCCGCATTCTGAACGCTGCCTGCCGCCTGATGGTGCAGATGGGGGTGGCGATCATAGCCGCAGCAGGCAACTACAAGGACGATGCTTGCCTGTACTCTCCAGCAGCTGAACCAGAGGTATGTGGAAGCTTAGAAGTGCCTCCGCTTGAGCTGTAGTTCCAGGCCCCACTAAAGTGTTGTGGACATGATTTGTGTGGCCTTGCAAGAAAGGCTCCAGCCCAGCTTAACAGTGCCTGCCAGTTTTTTCATGTTGCTGCAAATGCAGCACTTTTTTTAATGGAGGCTGTCATCTATTTGTCATGATCTAACTAGGATTTTCTGCACTGAGCAGTGGTTAGACTGGATTTTACTCTACTTAGCAATATATAAATGCTGCAGAAAAATGAAGGATACCGTTTAACTTGCTGGATTGGATCTAGAGTAGTGATTAGAAGACTCCTGCTTGTGCTGGAGGAATGGGGTGAAGAGGTGATCTTTGATATCCTTCTGTGCTCCTGCAACCAGATGTCGATCTGGAAAAGCTTTTCTGGAGGGCTGGGGGACCTTCTGGACCAGCATGAGAGGTAAGATAAAGCAGTGCAGGGAGGAAGAGGGATCGGTCAAGATCACCTCCTTGCTCCCTTCCTCCAACAAGGAGATTCTGTTGGATGCTGCTGTGCCCATAAACAGAAGGGACCCTTCTTTCCCTGGAATCACCTGTCTGCATCCAACTCTGCAATGCTGCAACCCTGACCTGACAACATTGTGTTATGGTAGGTTATCACAGTTGGTGCCACCAATGTCGAGGACCAGCCTGCTTCCATGGGGTCCTTGGGGACCAATTTTGGCCGTTGTGTAGATGTGTTTGCCCCTGGAGATGACATCATTGGAGCCTCCAGTGACTGCAGTACCTGCTTCACATCACAGAGTGGGACATCGCAAGCAGCTGCACATGTAGCAGGTAAAAATTTATAGCAGTACAGAAAGTTGTTGAGCTGCCATTTGGTTCACAGGGGTCTACTCAGGAGACATGACAAGCAGTGCAGCAACTCCCCACTCCCAGCTGTGTGTGTCTTTTGTTGTTTCGAGCTTCAGATTCTCATAGGTAAAAATAGACATTTTCTTTGTCCCATATTTCTGAAGCCCAAACATTGACAATGAATAACAAGAGCAGTCCTTGTTATTCAGGACTTTGGTCACCACTTGAAGACTGTGTGAGGTGGCCTCCCTAAAGCAGCTGTGCCACGTGAGGAGTTGTTTGGCAGACATTCTTCTGTGGAAGGGCTGCTGCTCATCCTGCGAATCGACTACCAATACGTGGCTGGTGACTCTCCTCCCGTGTGCACCGGTACGTGCATGAGTAGGGTGCAGGATTGCACCGGCTGGCCACATACTGCAAGACGGATGTGTCTGCTGGCTGGAGAATGGAAGTGGACCGTACTGGAAAAGGACAGGGTGTCATGCATCACCTTCTTGTGCTCTGGAACTCCCTGCTGAGGGAGCCCCGGCTCGCCTCGCCCGCCACCAGCAGGCAGTTCATATTCAGGCAAGCCTTTGTGAGTTCACAAAGAAAGACAGGATATAAATCAATCAGATCAACTTGTCAAGCTAAGTTCTCTGGGAGTGTTCTTTGTAAAGTGGGGCAGATTCCCCTCTCCCACTTCAGAATGGGAAGTGATGGGAATTCCTTTAGTAATTACTTCAGAATGGGAAGTTCTCAGTACACAAAGCTACTGGATGGATTACAGTGCATGTTGGCAGCCACTGGCCATGTAAGGAGGAATTCACTTGCTAAGAGAGAGGAATTCCCAGGAGGAATTCACTTGCTAAGAGAGAGTATGCGTAAAGCAGTGTGAAAATGGGAGGTGGTTGTCTCTGTGCTCATATACTCAAACACATACCATGCGTGCGTGCGTGCGTGTAAAATTTCTTGGTGCCTTTGTGCAGTTAGGACTGACAGCAAGTGTGTTATGGTCTGATTGTGACATGCCTTGTAGGCTGTTAGGCTTAAGGCAGAGTGCAATTAAAAGTTAACTGCTGCCGACACATCTCTGTATTAAACGGTTCCATGGATCCTGAAGGGGGCCTGCTGTGATTGTGAAATACAGATCTATTAAAGAATTAAATAAGCAGCTTGAAAGGTGGGGGAGGAGGAGAGACATGTACAAGTAACATCAAATGAGGCAACAGGATATCCTGGAGGAAAGGAACCCCAGATGGCGGAATAATTTGTATTCTAAGCGGAAATAAAAAATCAGTAATAATAAAGCTGCAGAACGGAAAGTGATTACTGTCGGCTGCCTTACCGTGAATAGGAACTTACTGGTGCCGTTTCATTACTTCCATGGACAAATGGGTTGGTTGTGTCCATTGAAGGGAATAGGGCAGCTCTCTAGGGAGGAAGATTCTGTGGGCACATCATAGGGTCCTTGTACCTGCAGCAGATGGTGTATGGGCCAGGATTGCTGCCCTTGTGTACCAGAACCAGAGTTCATTTTTCTTAGAATGTTATTCAAAAAGTGAAGTAACTGCTTGATGGAAAGGTTTCAACATTTTAAACCAGCTGCTTGGTTGCTCTAAGAAAAGGGTTCCATTCATAATTATATTGTTAACATTTATCATAAAGCAGAGGGAAACTGGTGAGATGACTTAAAATTGAAAGAAGAAGAAATACATTAATGCACTCGCTTTTTTGCTCCCAGATTTTGTTGAACTTGCATCCTTTGGAATGATTTGGATAAATGCTGTAACTGTGGAATATATGGCAATTCCATTGGAGTGTTGGTTCAAATTTGCATCCAAACTGAAATCAATTTGGTTTTGTTTACTTATGAAAAGTGTTTGCTTCAGGTGTGCTGTTTGATTTTTATTTAAAAACCATATGGCAATCATATGACAATCTCTGACCCAATGGAGTCAGGAGCATGCATAGACTCTGGTTCCATCTCGCCCAGGACTGACTGGCAGCAGCTTTCCCATTTTTGGGGCAGGAATTTTTTAGCCCTATTGGGAGATGCTGGGTTTGACTCCGGACCTTTTGCATGCCATGCAGGGGCTTTGTTGCTGATTGACAGCTTTCCCCCTGCCTGGTGAGCGGACACGCTTCTTGTGAAAGAAGGAAGGCAGCAAATGCAGCTGAGTGGAGGAAGAGAGGAGCCATGAGTGAATTTGGTTCAGAGCACTCACTTCTTACTGATCAAGATCACTTGAACGTCCTTTGAAGAGCTATGCATGCAATGCTGGCCCGCTGCTGCACATGCCCACAGCAGGAGCTGAGCTCAAACATCCACCCATTATTTTGCATCACACTTGCAGAGCATTCGTAACACGTCTCAGTGCCATAAAATATGAGTAGCACCATTTACTGAGTCCAGATATCCACGTGTCTAGCTCTTGCCTGATAATACAGAAAGGTATGTGTGTTGATGTAGGCATTGCGGCCATGATCTTGAACACCAACCCTGGCCTGTCCATCTCTGAGCTGAGACAGAGGCTGATCCACTTCTCCATCAAAAGCCTTATCAATGAAGCTTGGTTTCCTGAAGATCAGAGGTTGTTAACCCCCAACAGGGTGGCTGGGCTTCCCCCCAAACTTGTGGCAGGTGAGTGAAGCTTTGTTAGTTAGTGGTGTTATGTGCTTAGTTCTGCCATCATAAATTTCCAGTTAACCCACAGACATGCTCCTCCTCGCCTCCTTTTGCCACTTGACTGTCTGAAAGTCCCCAGATATGGGACCCTTGCGCTCACCTGGTGGAGAAAGGGAATGGGATGCTTATAGTTACATACGATGACCATCGGCTGCTCTCCTTTAGATGAAGAGCTGTACTGTCGCTCCGTGTGGTCTCCCTTGTCTGGATTGTCCAGTGGGGCAACAGCTGCTGCGCACTGCAGCAGCAATGAAGAAATGTTCAGCTGCTCAAGCTTATCAAAGAATGGGAAACAGCGGGGCACACGCATTGAGGTGATGTTCTATAGCGATGCTGCTGTTCATTATAAGTGCACATGTGTTTCCATAAAGATGAAATACTGGCAGTTGCTGGCATTCCTTGTGTCTCACCGCTGTGCTTTCTAAATTCCAGGATAATGGAGGCAGGAAAGAATGTGTTGCACATAACAGATTTGGTGGCCAAGGGGTCTATGGCATAGCCCGGTGTTGCATTTGGCCCAAAGCTGACTGCCAAATTAACACCCTCTCAGAGGGCTCAGCAGTGCAAAGTGTCAGCTGCACTAAAGACACCCATGTTTTGACAGGTAAGTGGTGACTACTGTGATGGCAGCAACTGAGGATTTTGTGTCACCCCAGTTTCATATTGAGCCATCTTTACTCATCAGTTCTGTTCCAAAAAGAAAGATCTACACTTGGAAAGGTCTACCGCACAAGGAGATACCCTTCTGCATTAGGACCTTTGTGCCTTACAGTGTACTAGTGTCATGTTTGCAAAACTCCTGGTTGGATATACGTGCAATACTGAGGACAAAGCTGGCACAGATTGAATGCACGTCTGCAGCATGATACACATTCTGCACAAGCAGTGCCCGTCAGCATTGACCTTCCAGTCTATCTTGTGATGTGAGCATAGAAACTTCCATCTGTCATCTTGGGTCACAGTGCAAGCATTGCACGCAATTAGCTTTGCATTGGAATCCACACAGCTTGCCAGAGTTAATAATCTCTGTCTTTATAGGGTTTCAATCTTTTGCCCACTTATTTCAAAGCAACTTATCAGTGGGCATGTAATGGGTTGTGTTTGAAAGTAACAAGCACCTATAAAATATTCAATATTTCAATATTGGAAATATTAGCAATATTTGAGATTTTTCAATGTTTTCTTTGAAACCTTTCCAGCATCTTCCCTCATTTATAAACAGACACTCAAAGAATAAAATAAAGTGTTTTGCACAACAGGAAATCTTGAGCACCACTGTGGAAACTTTGAGACTTCCGTACACATGCCAATATATATGGAAAATGTCTGGATACTGAAATATGTGCACTTCTTCTGATATGCATGCTCATCCATAAGGGTGAATCCATCTTTAAAAAGTGACTTTGCAAGAGCAATACTAGACTGGCTTGGCCATTTCAGCCTAAAGCAATAATGGAACAAGACTTGAGATCCAGTTTGGTTTTCTACAAAATGTCACTCTGCTTTGCATGCTACTCACTGAAGAAGCGTGTAAGGGAAAAAGAACAGTTGTTGAAATGAAATGCATAGTGGGTAGGGTTGGGGAGAAGTACAAGCAGGGTGCAGTATAGGTCCAGGTGAAGTACGTATTTGAAAAGCTGGTGTATGCAGTGCATAGAACTCCACATCTAGGTTTCGGGTGTTCATTTATTTGTTTCATGTCACTTTGTACATGCTCTCACACAAGCTAAATTGGCAGGTTGCAGCTCTCATTCTCCAGTGGGAGAGTTCATTGGCACCATCCGACCTGTGCTTGGGTCAGAAAGTGGCCATGACCACTGCATAGGCCAGGCAGAGGCAACCGTACATGCTTTCTGCTGCCACGTGCCAAGCATTGAGTGCAAGGTCCAGGAGTACTTTTCTGCAACGTATCAACCAAAGGTATGTGGGTGCTTTTCCTCTGTGGTGGATTCCAGTGTAGTTACGCTGATCCGTGATGAGTAGGCTCGGTGGGACTTCGCTGAGGCACTTGAACTCCCCGGGCTGTGCAGACTGGGATTGCTAATGAGGCTGCCGTCATCTGGGGTGTGTGCTAATCACTGTTTGGTCTTAGTGCAGGTACTGGGTACAGAACTCCTGGAATTTTCTTTATGCCTGAGCTGAACTGAAGGAAGAGTGATAATGATACCCCAGGCCTATTTCACGAGCCTAAAAGATCAAGAGTGGAGCCTTCATGCTGTTGTTGCTGTGGGGGTTGGAGAAGTGAAAGGGAAAGGGAAAGCATGGGGCTGTAGTCAGCAACAGTGTTCCATTAGCAGGAGAAACTGGTGGGACAAATTCCTTTTTTACCCTGCAAATCCCCACCAGATCTGTTCTGCAGAATATACTCAGGGCAGCTGCAGTGAAAGCAGTGCTGACATCTGTATGAAGGTTGGGACCAACCTACAGGATCCACCCCTTTAGGCACAAGACCAGGACGGTGTATCCTGTTGTCAAAAGCATAGTAGCTCTAGAATCTGTGAAAGAACCTCTGGGCAGACAGTCTTTTCCGAGATGTTTGCTTGAACAGAGTCCACAAAGGACCTTGCAGGTCATAGTCTATTTTCATATACTTGCTATTAAATCAGCTATTTTTTAGCCCTGAAAAAAAATCAAGTGAATCCCCAGTGGTTCCAAAGATTGTCATTGTTGTGATGTAGTATTATTGATATAGAACTCTCAATGTATAAGAATATTAACTATTAACATAGTTTCATAGGAGAAAGAAGATGGCAGCAGTTTGAGTGAGAATGTCAGGGAGGGGAAGGGAAGTGAATGCCTCAAACCAAGGTTAGCAGCTCAGAAATGCTGAGCTTTCCTTACTGGAAGAAATCATTTGCTAATTTTGAGTAATTTCCCCCCCACCCCCTTTGCCTTAGGTGATGGTGGCTTGCGATGCTGGCTGGACCCTGACCGGATGCAATGCTCAGGCGCATGGCAATAATGCTCTCGGTGCATATTCAGTGGACAACACTTGTGTTGTGATAAGCAGCCCAGGCAGCAAAGGAGCAAGGGCTTTTGTCATTTGCTGTAGAAAGAGACTCTTGGAAAATGAGCAGCACAGTTCGAATTATAAGTGACAGTACTAACCCCCACCCTCCAAAAACAACCCCTGGCACGCAATCCACGGGACTTGCAGTTTATGGCCGCCACCCCATAACACTGGTGAGCTGTTCATTCCTCCCTCAGCTGTACCTGAAGAAAGTGTTCTGGCAGGTAGAGGTCCAGCAGACACTCAGCACAACTCTTCTAAATGTCTCAGTTATATAGGATTTAGCTTTCCTCCTCACTATGGAGAGATGCATCTGTTTGATGCCTCAATAACTGAACTTACTCATAGAAAAATTTTGGACAGTAAGCTTAGCCTGTGCTTTTTCCAGTAGCCTTCCTTCTGCAGTCGGTGACTTTGAGGATATATGGATATAACTGCAACCCTAACCTGAACACCTTTTCCTTCCAAGTGTCATATTCATATTCCAAAACAGCAGGGTAACTGTATATCCCATGTTGACCCATTCACAGGCCTGTGTTCAAATCAACACAAGCACATAAATCAACACATTTATGTGCGTTATATCCGTTACACATCCAAGATGTTTCTAAGAGTTACTCAGTATTTGTAGGGGACAAAGGGATAAAGAATAAGCAGATAATAGATGTGCATCTCTTCAGCCTGTCTCCAACAACTTCATTCTGGCTTCTGAGCTCTAACTAGCAACTTCCAGCTGTGCGGATTAATTTTTCTTTCATTATAAAATGCAAAATAATCAACACTAAAAATTCTGCCCTGGATTCCAGGTTACATATACATAATCATAGTGTGGGAATCTTGATATATTCAGCAGTTTTGTCATTCTATGTAGTAAGCTGTAATTGATATAAAAAAATAGAATTCTAGTAAGTAGCATTTAGGACACCTAGTCATTTTAATGGAGCCGAAGGATTAATGTTCTCTTCCCTCCCTAGTGTTCGTAAGGCAAAGTTGTTTAATGTTGCTGACGGTACAAGTCAGAGAGGATGGTAGGACTGATGGTAGTCAAATAGACTGTTGCCAGGCAAAATACCTAGATGTGGCTGAGCTAAGTATGTGGTTAAGAGTGCAATCCTATGCATGTTTAGAGAGAAAAAGCATGTATAAAATTGTGCCCTAAAGCTCCAAGGCCTGAATGTTCTCTCTTTTGCTGAGTCAAGCATAGGGATTGCAGAGTTCCTGCCATGGCTTAGTAAAGACTGTGGGAGTGGCATGCAAACCAGAGTGCAGCATTCAGCTTATTCACGTTTCTCACTCTATTGACATTTATTTAGCATTTCTTGTTCTAAAGTGCCTTACCCCTCTTTTCAAGCAGACTTGCTAGGTAGCCAACCATATTAGCATAAACCCTCTGTACAGAGCAGGGACAGAGAGGCCAAGGTAATTTCTATGATCTTTCCTTTTAACTTTGAGAAGCTACTTCTGTATGGGATATTGTCATATCCCCTTATAAAAGCTTTGCTCCTTATTCCTTAAGCTTTGCTCTGGAGAAAATTTTTCCACTTTTGCTTGCAGAGTCCACATTTAATTGCCACATTTAATTTAACCTACTGTATTTTTCGCTCTATAAGACACACTTCCCCCCCCCCCTCAAAAGGGGAAATGTCTGTGCATCTTATAGAGCGAATGTGTGTGTGCCTGACGCCCGGGATGCTGCCGGCCGCCTGCCCCACATGGCACAACCTGGGCGGCACGCGCTCAGCGCGCCCTGCTTTGCTCCGCCCCCTCCGGCACAGGTGAGATCTGTGCTGCTCAGGGAAAGGCGTGCGGAGGAGCAGCTGTGGCCTTTAACCCGCCGGCCGCACAGAAAGACTGACTGCTCACCCCCACCGCCCGGGAAGACCTGCTGCTGCGCCGCCCGGAAGACCATCGCCGGCACGCTGCCGACTGCCTGCACCACGTGGCACCACCTGGCCGGCACACGATCGGCGCGCCCTGCTCCACCCCCTCCCCCAGCGCAGGTGAGAGCTGTGTCACTCGGGGAGAGGTGTGGAGCAGCAGCAGCTGCGGGCTTTAACCCACCGGCCGCACGGAGAGACGGACTGCTCACCCCCACCGCCCGGGAAGACCTGCCGCCGCGCCGCCTGGAAGACCACCGCTGGCATGTTGCTGGCCCCACGTGGCACCACCTGGCTGGCACGTGCTTGGCGCGCCCTGCTCTGCCCCCCTCTTCTGGCGCAGGTGAGAGCTGTTAATCACAGGTCAGTGTGTGTTTTCAAATGGCAACCCACCTTTTAATGAAGCCCATGGGGAATGGGCCTGTGATTATCAGGAAGCTTTCCATGGATCAGTTAGCTGTTAGTTGATCAGACACTTTTTTTTTTTTTAGGATCAGTGGATATTTGAACAGCATTACCTTCGTGTATGAAGTTTATTCTTCAAAGGCTACTTAGTCCGCTGTGTGTTTGATTTACCGTACAATATCTCATTTTTTGTCAGAAGTTTTTTTCTATTGTTTACTAGTAGGGCAGCATGGACATTACTGGCTTTTTTAGATTTGTTATTGACTTGTCTGCAGCAGCTCTTGTATAACTGGTGTAGATTGTGGATTCCTTCAGTAATTCCACTACTAAGAAAGTGATGTCAGTGAGTGAGCAACAGAGCTTCATAAATTCTGACTCTAGTGATGATGAGTTCTGTGGGTTCAACAAAAGCTAGAAGAGTACTCGAACTTTAAAGTCTCTCTCTTGTTAATGACAGTGATGATGGTTCTTAATGTCACTGTTGACTGCTGTTCACTTTACAAGGTTGAAATACGGTATTACTGTATTCTGTTATAGTTTATTAAATAGTTTAGTAAACCATTTGATTCAGAATATTTTTTTCTTGTTTTCCTCCTCTAAAAACTAGGTGCGTCTTATGGTCAGGTGCGTCTTATAGAGCAAAAAATACAGTACTTTTCCCCAGTAGGTTACATTGCCAAGGAACCTATTATTACTACATTTCTATACTGCCCATAGCTGAAGCTCTCTGGCTGGTTCACATCATTTTAGACTTAATGATGACTAAATTTTAAGTTATCCATCTAGTGCAGGGGTCCTCAAATGTTTTAAATGGGGCCAGTTCACTGTCCCTTAGACTGTTGGGGGGCTGAACTATAGTTTGAAAAAAATAACGAATTCCTATGCACACTACACATCAAAATCCATTAAAATTAGACTACATTAAAATTTATTAAAATCCATTAAAATTAAATTAAAATACATTAAAATTTATTAAATTTAAAAAAATAATTAAAAAATTAAAACCTGTTTGCTCCACTCGCTTGGGCTACAGAAACCCAAGATGAGGTGGGGAACAGCATGTCCATATTCAAAGGACATAGCTACAATGTCTGCAATCTTGCTGGGCACGGGGGGGGGGGCATGGACATGATTGCGCTCGTGCAGGGAAGGTGGGCGCAATCATGGGTGTGCTCGTGCAGGGAAGGCGGGTGTGATTGCAGCCATCTTCCCCCCCCCCCCAGCATGATTGCGGCCACCCCTCCCCCCAGCACAGCTGCAGTTATGCCTGTCTTCCCTGCATGAGCGCAACTGCACCCATCTCCCCACTGAGTATACCTGTGCTGGCTCAGAGCTTTTGGACTTGCTCTGAGGCAGGCTGGATAAATCAGCATGGCGGGCTGTATCCAGCCTGTGGGCTGTAGTTTGAGGACCCATGATCTAGTGTGTGTAAAAGTCTCCATGAATGAAGGTAGCCTCTGTCTCCATGAATGGGCAAAGTGCTGCAAATTCATCACCCATACAAGTAATTTCCACTGTTGAGGTACAGGGAACAGTCATATTAAAAAGCTGTTACTGCAAGACTTCAAGAACCCCACCAAGGAAATATGGAGGGTTTCTTTAAGGGCTTTTAAAAGCTATGGTACTCATAATTAGACGACCAAATACTTTTGTCCTTTATTCACACTTGGGGCACTGTAAAGTCAAACATACGGTCAATAATCTAGGCCAGTTTGTCTACGGATAAAATACTAGGTGGTTGTATTTAAATCATTTAAATTTCCTTTCAAAGGCAGGTTAGTAGTCCTTTTTTGCCGATTTGGTAACTGTTTAAATGTTTGTATAATAAATTCTTAATCTCTTAGTCTATGTTAAAAATAATATAAGAGGGCAACTAGGCATGCTTGCTTAGAAGAAAGCCCTATTTATTGTGTTAGAGCTTACTTCTAGAAAAGTGTACATAGGTTACAGTCCTAAATGGCTTTTTTACTTCAAGAAAGGCCAGGAAGAAAACTAAATAATGGACAATGTAGACGACATGTAATCCTTTGTTGTTTGAGGGGCCAAGACAGAGACCTACCTAGCTACTGTAATTCATAGCTGCTTGATGTAGGAAAAAAGTTTTATGCTGTAGAATTTTACATTTTTTGTCTGGAAACTATTCTGTTTTATATAACATTTTATATGGTCATCTTTTTGGACATAAATTTTCATATTATCTTACTTGGATGGATACATATTCTCTTTGAATTCATTTTAAGCAAAGTATTTATCTGCAACTAGATTTCAGGAAAGAATGCAATAAGACTAATTACCAATCATCGAGCTTTTCTCTAGCGATTCTTCCATTTAGGTGTACCAGAATGAAACACTCCATGACAGGTGTAGGCATATGGCACACACGCACAACCCATCAAGAGGTGCAGAGGGACATGCAGGAAGGAAGCAGTGAAGGCATGCCCAGATTTCTAAGCCCACTTGCTGGAGATGCTAACCATCTATGTTCAAGTGCCTTTCCTGCAGGAGGACGGAAAGTATGCTTCTTGCCAGTGGAGATGGAATCCCTCTATGCCTACTTTTGGTGAGATGGCAAGTTGCCTCTTTCACAAAATAACGAGCAGGCTTTTTTGTGAGAGGAATAAACTTTATTCTGTTGACCAGGATTCTTTTCCATGAAAACTGCCTTTTCTTTTCCAAAGAAAGTTCTAAACACCTGGGGAGTTAGCTGGACCAGACCATATACAATGAGAGCATACAGTCAAACTGATTGCCCAATCCCACAGAACATTCCAGTATTATGTATAAAATCCATTGTTCATCCAAAAAG